ACACTGCCCCGAGTTCGTCTGCACCGCCGAACAACACCGACGACCTTGCTGCTTCACCTACTCCTCATGGGAACGAGTAGATGCTCTATGTCTTCAAACCTTTTTGGTCCTTACTGACAAAAGGGGGAGAAGCATATGAGTTTGATATTCTTCAAGCGGGTCCATATGGGCGGTTGCTTTATGTTTTGCCTAGTGTTTACAACTCTCGTTTTGATACATTTGGTTCTCTGAGTTGTAACACTTAAACTCGATGGTCGTCTGCTACTTATTTGCTATTCTATGATGCGATGATAAATTCCGCATGTGCGGCGATAAATTCCGCACTTAGATCATTTTGCATACGTCTATTTTTTATTATGCATGTCATTATCTTCACATACTTGTCATGCATGATGAATTGTCATCATAAGTTGAAGAGGATCTCCACAAGTACAACCTGCCATGTGCATTTGCATTCCAAAAGCAAATTACTTATATGCGCATCTTCAGGGGGAGCCCTTGCAACTTATGAAGACAATTCCCTATCCTTTAAAATTTCACATATTATATTCCCCGTTGAAAACTTCAACTAGTTTGTCATCAATCACCAAAAAGGGGGAGATTGTAAGTGCATCTAGTGCCACCCCTAGTTGGTTTTGGAGTATTGACGACAAACCTAGTTGAGGGACTAATGTGTTTGTGAGAATTGCAGGATAACACAGGTAGAAGTCCCTCATTGATTCGGTTTTCCTATCAGAGATGACCCCTAAAAATGTATGAAGACACTGAAGTCAAAGGTGGTATGTGAAGACATTCACATTGAAGACTATGACAAGAGAAGACATCACGTGAAGACTATGGAGCGCGAAGACTTAGCAGTTTCGTCGTTCTGTGTTTTTCTTTGTTGAGTCATAGAAACCACTATACTGTTAAGTGGGGTCCAAGAGAACCAGTCAGAATGACTGAAGTGATGCTTAACCAAAATCCTATGTCTTCGAGTGAAGACTATGAGAGCAAATCTTGTCCAGAGTTGGATAAGTCAGCTTTGCTTGTAGCCCAAGTAAAGTTGTCGTGTGTGTTTGAAATCTGACCGTTGGAACACGTGTTAGTTCCTTAGTGACCTAGGGTCATTTCGGACAAATCAGGTCGGGTTGCCTAGTGGCTATAAATAGCCCACCCCCTACACCCATAAACGGTTGGCTGCTCAGAGTTAAAGCACGGCTTTTGTCGTTTGAGAGCAACCCACCTCGAAGCCTTTGAGAGAGAATTCCTTGAGAGGATAAAACCCTAACCACCTAGAGCCAAAGAGTGTTAGGCATCACTTAAGTCTTCCTGTCTGTGTGATCTGAAGACTTATTACACTTGAGGACTGTGAATCCTCTAGCCGGTTAGGCGTCGCGTTCTGAGCATCCAAGAGTCATCGTGGATCGCCGGTGAACAAAGTCTGTGAAGGTTTAGAAGTCTACCTTGAAGACTTACCAGAGTGATTGGGCGAGGTCTGTGTGACCTTAGCTTAAGGGGAATACGGTGAGGACTGGGTGTCCTGAGCTGCGTGTTCAGGACTGGGTGTCCGGGACTGTGTGTCCTTAGGTTTAAATACCTAGCCGCCCTAACCAGACGTACAACTGTCACAGCAGTTGGAACTGGTCCAACAAATCATTGTCTTCAATGAGTCACTGGTTTCATCCTTCCCTTCCCTTTACTTACTGTTGGTCCTTGTGAAGTCATTGTATGATTGCATTATCTTTTGTCTTCACTGAGTGACAGCTTGTTCTGATTGGCTTCACAATATCTTCCTACCTGATCCTTACTGCCTAGTTGCTATTAGTCATTGTACTTTCACTTCATTGAATACTTGACTATGGTTTGCCTAGTGTAGTCTACCTTCCGCTGCATGGTAATATGTTTATTTCTATCGTTTGTCTTCGAAACTTCCATGTTTTGAAAACTTTCATAAAAATCGCTTATTCACCCCCCTCTAGTCGATCACTAGCACTTCCACATCTGCTATAGTACATGCATCTACAGCCGCGGTCGGCAAATTCGGCCCCTCAAACGCCCATGGACGCGCCCAACAGTGACCGAACACGCCTCATATGTTTACTCTCACATCCATGTCCCTCATATCTGAAACCTCAAACCCATGAACCCCATGCAACACTACGTACATAACATGACGAACAACGATTAATTCATCCTTTATAGATGAATCATAGTTCATCGCCGGACAAAAGGATTAGAATTCATAGGCGGACAACCGAAATTCATACTATAAACGACTAAAAACATAAATAAAACATAGATAAATGGAGAAGGGTGGAGGAAATCATCATTTCCTCGCCGCCCCTTCCTCTTGCGGTCGTTGACACTGCACTGCCCCTGCGTGTACGAGTTGGCGTGCGGTGGTGCATCGTCGTCGGGGCTGGAGCTAGAGCTGTCCGTCAGGTTGGAGTCGTCGGAGCAGCTTTGCCCTGACAGGCTCCTTAGCAAGCGGTCCTGCTCCCTCACATGTTGGGTCGTCCTCGCCTTGGCCGCCGCCTCCTTGGATGCCCCTTCTTCCGACAGCTCGATGTTGAGCCGGAGTGCCTTGGTATTTTTGCCGCGGAGCCGCCGTGCATCTGTTTCCACCATCTTGAGGGAGCGGTGGAGGATCGATGCGAGGAGCGCGACCTCGGGATCCACCGACGCGCTCGTGCGTGCCTGGCGTGCGGCCAGTGTCTCCCCAGCTGCCACCCTCTTCCTCGCCCACTGCCACTCGCGACGGGCCGCCCATGCCTCAGATTCAGGTGTCCTCACCCGCACCGCGGGCACGAGGACCCATCGACACCCGGGTACCCCTTCCGAAGCAGATTGAACCCACGGTGGAGGACGGTGTACTTGGACAGCCGAGGAAGCGGGTGCGGAGCGGCCTGAGCTACGCGACAGGCTAGACGGCCCGACGACGTCGCCGTCACTGTGTCGACAGGCGACGAGCATTGCAGAACCCGAGCTGCCGCTGCCTTGTTCGAGCAGTGAACGCCTCAAAGCAATGCAGAGGGCAACCTCCTCCACATCGTCGGGCTCTGCATCGCACAACAGGCTCAACCAGTCGCCGGAGCCACCTGAGCTGCCACTGGTGCCGACGTTGCTACCTTTGCCGGCCATCGATCGGAATCGGAGGGGACTCGAAGTGGAGCGGACAGAGAAGAGAGTGAAGTGGACTAATGGATTGGACTTCGGTCTAGGGCTTTAAGATTCTCGAGACGACGATATTTGTGGGGGGCGAGTGTGGGCCAGTCTAGGCTCGTTCGATGTGGCGGACTCACCCGAGCGCTCCGGCCGCCTCATATCCGTCCTAGATTTGGGCTTGATATGAGGGATGCCGAACAATCCGGGTGTTTATGGGTCGATACTTTTTGTTTTTTGAATGATCCGTCTATCCGAGCGTTTGGCCGGATTGATCTGCCCGGCTGTAGATGCTCTAGTTCTGCAGAGCATTTTAGTGGTAAATTTTCATGACGGACAGCGATAGTAGCTAAGATTCTGTCCTCCTGGAGTGGCGAACGATGGAAACCAAATTAGAGCAAAGCATATATTCATTCAAGTCCCTCTCGGCTCTTGCGACGACTTGGAGTCTTGCCACTGGATGATTCGCACCAGCAGTTCCTTTCTCTCGAAGAAAACAGGGAGCGCTTTGAAGCATTCAGACTCCACAAGCCGCAGCCCCCCAGGTCCGCAGCAGCCACCACGCACGCGAGAAGAAAAGTAAGCCAAGATCACCATCCGGCCCTCAGCATCTCCAGGAGTCCAGCTCATTACGATTTAACAAATCCTACTGTCAGATCACCACGTCAAGCCGAACATGCATAATTCAACCTGGCAATCGGGTCGGGTCAGGCCGGGTCGACCTCAGCCAGACCCACGCCCAAACCCTTTATCGGGCCAAGCCTGCGCCCACGACCCTACCCACGGGTCTCATATCAGACCCACGCCCGAACTCATCTGGTTACCCGGCCTAATCAGGCACCCATCGGGCATGATTAAAAACAATTATTAGTTTTAATTTTTGCTTATTATGGTACTACTTTTAATAGTGGTGAACCAGGATCGCGTACACTATGATATTTATGTCTATATAAGAGCTGAAGTAAAATGAGCATCCATGTGCTACCTTTATAGTGCTCCTGAAGCTCCACTTCTCATCAGCTAGGCGAGGTGGTACTAAAATTACCTGCGTTGCCCACTTTTGCCAGTGCCCTGTGCGGCTGCATATCCACCATGGGCTGATGATGGCTGAACAATGCTTGGGCCCATCATTTGTTTTGAGAACTTGGCCCATCATACATATACGTGTGTTGTGTGGACAAGAGAATGATTCAAGGCCGAGCTCGTTTGGGCTCTTGGCATAGTATAGTCATGTGTTGCCCACTTGCCATTGGTAGAAAAAGCTCTCTAATGCCGTTTTACATGCATTGCTACGTTTGGTTGTTGTGAATAAATTAATTAGCAAGTATCTTCACCAAAACGTCCACACATAATATAATATTTTAATCACTATATTAATCGGGTGACCCATCGGGTGACCCAGGGGCAGAACATTATACCCATACCCTGCCCATATATTATCGGGTTACCCATAAGGCTTACCCATGGGTGAATATGGCGACCCAAACCCTACCCATTCGGGTCGGGTGCCCATGGGCGCGGCCACCCATGGGTCGGATTGCCAGGTTGATGCATAATACAGTAGACTTCAAAATAGACGGACGTCGCACACGACGCCATACATCCATCTTTTGTTTCTCTATATATACATATACAAGCCACAGCGAAGTGTGAGACTAATTGTACGTTGTGCTAATAACAGAGTACACTGTTTATTCTACTAGAAGCGTAGTGACCCGGCCACCACTGCAAGTGAGCCTAGTGGCCGCGGTAACCTTTGCATTTCTAACCGCCCGGGGAACCAGCCGGAGGCCACTCCGGCCGAAAGCGTCAGGGACCTGCGTGAGCGCTGGTCGGGGCGGACGGCGGGCGGTCGATCACCAGCACTGGTCGGTCTCCCAGGTGCGGCGTCGGCACCCGGGGAACGACGGCGAGCGGGCGAGGTTCGGGGCGCTGCGGCGGGCGACGGCGGAGGGGATCATGATCATGCGGCGGTCGTAGTCGGCGCGCTTGCTGGGGTCGGAGAGCGTGCTGTAGGCGGCGTGCACGCGTATGAAGTCGTCGGCGGGGTGCGGGGACACGTCCGGGTGGACGGCGCGCGCCAGGCGGCGGTACGCGGCCTTGATCTCCCCGTCGCTCGCGCCGGCGTCCAGGCCGAGCACGTCGTAGAAGCAGGAGGAGGCGCCGCGGCCCGGCGCGGCGACGGCGGAGGCGGAGCAGGAGAAGGTGGCCTGGCGCGCGAGCGGGGCCGAGAGCAGCCGCGGCGGCGGCTGCGCGGCCGGCGAGGCGGGCGGCGAGGGGGAGAATGAGCCCGGGCGGGAGAAGGAGGCGGAGCGGGAGAAGAAGCCGGAGGAGAGAGTGGGGCGCGGGGAGATCATGGTGGCGAGGCTCGGTTCGGGTGCGCGGAGGAGCCGAGGCTGCTTTTTAACGCTGGCGGACGAGGAGGCAATCGCCAATCAGACGAGGCATTTGAGGGGGGTTGGCTTTGGCTATTCGTTAACGCCGGGCGTGGCTCGCGTTGCGTCCCTTTGGCTGCGCGTTGTTTCGTCAACGATTCTCCCTGGGCTGCTCCCATTGGCTGGCCGCAGCGCAACTCGAGGGGCTCATTTCGGATTTGGCGGGATGCGGTCATGTGCCTCTGGCCGACGAGTTGATTTTTGTTGCCATCAACACCTCGTGATTGGGTTAACGCGAATCTCAAGTCTGCAACTGTGACGAGTTTCGTTTGAAGCAGTCGTTCACGGTGCCGATTTAGTTTGCAGGCATGATTCATAGTGACAGGGACATACGTACTACACAAATAGTTCCGGCTGCTGGCTGCAGGTACATGTCACGTAACGTAAGGGCCGACATCTGTACACACTTTGTACTATTAAAGAAATGTCAAGTTGTAATAGTATTAAGTTTCTGTAGAAAGTTGAAATATCAATGTTGGGAACTTGAGAAAAGCATAAGTCGCTGTCAGTTTTACCCGTTCGTTCCCGTAACCCTTATCTGAGGAGTATGTCATCATACATCAAGTTTGACAAAAACCGTAAGGCAGAATTAACCAGACTCTCCCGTGTCGCTCCCCGCGGGCGGCTCGGGAGAAACCCTAGGCGCCGCCGCCCAACACTCCCACCCCACCCCTCCCCTCCCTCGCCGCCGCCGGAGGGCGTCGCCGGGCAAAGCCCGCGCGGCGTCGGCGGCGGCGGGGCCTGGTTCTCCCTCTCGCGAGGCGCTCGAGCGGCGCGGGGCTGCTCAGCCGAGCGGAGGCGTCGTCGGGCTAGCGGCGACAAGGGACGGCGTCGTCGGGCTAGCAGAGTCAAGGGGCGGCTTCGTCGCGCATGGTCGCGACGGAGACTTGAGGGGGCGGTGCACGCAGATCTGGCGCGCGGTGACCAGCGGCCGGGCGGATCTAGTGCTGGCAAGGGAGCTGCAGTTCGCGACGACGCGGTGTGGAGCAGCTCTGGCGCTCCAACGAGGAGCCGCAGATGCGAGGGCGCGATCTTGGCCCGGTGGCTTGGGGCGGTCTTCCTTGCTTCTCTGCATCAAGGCCAGGCGTGGTGGCGGCGCTGTGCATCGAGGCCTCTGCTCGTGATGGGGTGTTGCTGCTGTGGGATCTGGCTCCAGGGGTGGATGCGTGGAGATGCAGGTGGGCTGGCCGGATTTGCTGTTGACCATAGGTTTTGAGGGTTGGGTGAAAACCCGTTTCTGCCTATGGCTGGAACCTGTGACGGCGGCGTTTGTGGACACCGTAACCTTCTTGTAGGCGTCGACAGTATGCTCTCACTTCCTATGGGAGACACAACTTCGGGGGAAACCCTAGACCCGGAGGGTCGGTCGTTGGCGGCGCGTAAGCGTCCTTTCCCTCTTGAGGGCATCGATTTTGAAGTTCAATCCGGTTAGAGGGACCGGTGGGTGTGCTAGGAGGTTGGTGGAAGGCGTTGGTGTGGTGCTGGGGCTTCTGTGGCAACAACGTTGATGGGGGCGAGTGAAGTCGGAGGCATGACAGTGGTTGCGGTAGTCGGCTCTTCTCCGGCGTGTCCGTGGGATTACCTCGGTTTGTTTGTTGCGGTGAAGTCGGAGCTGCGGCGGCGGGGCCCCTGTGGCAACGATGGCAAGCAACGGGCGGTCTGTTCGGTGGTCTTCCACGGCGCCAACCTTGTATGGTTTCTCCTTCGGATCTCTCCTTCAGAGGCGATGCTGTGCTGCCCTCGGTGCAGGTGGCTGAGTTCTAGCAGGATCTTCATGTGTTTCTGCACGGCTTCTGCGGTGAGGGTTGAGTCGACGTTTGTTTGCAGCGAAGTTGGAGTCGCTTGCTCAGGGATTAGGGGCATCAATGACGCGTGCTTGGGGAGAGGTGATGACGATGACGTTTGTGTGCTAACTCGACAAGGCACTCTCCGTATAGGTGTGTGTGGGGTATCTTTTGTATGCGCCGTTCAGCGGATTGTGACGGTTTTTGCCCGGTTTTCCGCTAAATTAACCGGGCAATTCTCTTCTGCTTATTTAATGGATGAGGCAAATCTTTTGCCTCCGTTTCAAAAAAAACCGTAAGGCTAAGGCTGGCGCAGTCCGCCCAACCCAAATTTGGGCCGGCCGGTGTGTAACCTTTCGATTCTGCGCCTCGGCACCGTTGGATTGCACGCCTGGCATTCCATCCTCATCCTGTCGTCCATCGTAGCACCGCCAATCAACGGTTGCAGCATCGACGGTGCCGGGTGTCACGGTTCACCTCCTCTTCGCTCGTCGCCAGTGGTACTCACCATGCGTGCCACCCTTCCCCCTGCCCCCTCCCAGCATCACATTGCGCCCCTCTGTTCGTTGGTTCCAGCAAAACAAAACCATCGATCCAACAAAAATGTCGTTGGTTGAAGGAAAACCCGCCACCAGTCCCAACAAAACCATCACTCATCACCTTGTCGCCCACCATTGTTGGTTCTAGCAAAAACAAAAATCGATTCCAACAAATTTGAACGCCTGTTGCGGCAAAATCCACGCTCGGTGCCAGCAAAAACATCCTCGGTTCCAACAATAATTACCATTGGTTGCAGCAAAAAACTACGGTGGTTCCAGCATCAGCTTTGATCACCGAGGAATAGAGACTTTACAAATAAAAGCAGGGAATGTCCGGCTGCCCCAGTTCCAACACGTCGCCATCGTCGCATCTTCTGCGAGTGCCGGTAGCAGCTTTTCCGCTGGCCAGATGCAACTTTTTCCACGGGCAGTTGTAGCACACAAAAAAAGGACGCCGCCGTAGTAGCACGCACAACCGGTGATCTGCTGGCCGCTGCTTCCGCTCCAGCATCAACGACGACTGCGCATCATGGGTTGTGGCGCCGATTGCAACTTTTTTGTGTTGGGTGTAGCTCCACGATGATAGATCTCCTCGCGGTGAGCGTGATCACTCAACGGGATCAGAGGCACAGGCACGGGGTCTGCTGAGAGGTGCCAGTTGTTTGGGAGGTGCACGTCGTTGCACGAAAGCAGTGTGCCCTTCTCCCAATACCTATGGCAGATCTCAGCCTTCACGTATGGCCGCTGCCGAGGCGGGGCAGCTGGTGGGGAGATGTCAAACGCCGAAGGGGTGGAGCAGCTGCGACGGTCGGGGGATGACCCGACCTTGTGGTCGTGCTTCCCCTGCCGGGGATCCACTTTCAAGCCATGGACGCTGCGCGAGGAGGTGGAAGAGCGGCGATCGGGGGGCTAGGGTTTGCGTGTGTCGGGGCTCGAGGTGGCAGCGGCTCCGAAAGTTAAAGTCTGTGGACTGACCGGTCCACAACTTTCACATTAAAAAGGACGACGATCGTGTGGCTGGGTGGCTGGCAAGTGGGTCCGTCCCACGTGTGCGCCATCAATGTGGGCGGTGGGAAGTAGGTAGGCAGCCGACAGGCAGGCCCGAGGCGGGCAAGGATGAGGAACAAGCGTGTGGACGTCCGTTTGCTGTCCGTCTGGATGCAAACCGAAAGCAAATTTGCTCCAGAAATAGATCGATCGAGACGCCAAATGAACATAATTTGAGCATGGGGTCACGCATTGGGCTGTCACATTTGTTCGTTTGAATCAATATGGACACGCGTGGGTCAGATGGGGTTGTGTGTTGGAGTTGGCGTTAGAGGGTCGGATTTGTTCAACGTGGTTGTACACGCTTTTATCTTTACCTACTAATAAAGCACCTATTGCTTTTGTTGGTTCACCATCATGTAACTTTTGCAGAAAAGTCCTTGACTATTATGGAAATAAACCAATAGTCCAAAAATAAGTGAGAAAAAATGATTCGACGAATAGGACATTGTAGGCCAACGAGCAGGTCAACGCTGCCTCTGGCCCGCCATAGCCGCTCGGCCCCAGTGGCTCGGGACGAGGGGAACCATGGCGTCTGGGGTCGAGCGAGTCCGGGAGGGTGGGTAGGCCACAAGCCTTGCAGGTTGGGTTGGCCGTGGTTAGCATGCGGGCATGGCCGAGGCGAGGCGGAGTTTGCAGCAGCACGTCGTGGGAGGTGGTCGTGAGGTGCAAAGGTGGGCGGTGGTGGAGCAACAAAGGAGGATCAAGGGGCCCCGGAGCTTCCGGATGGAGCTACAAACGTGAGCAGCCAGCGAGGAGGACGTAGGCGCGGGAGGTCGAAGCGATGGAGAAGGTAGCGCGGGGGCTAACCAGCGGCCGACCATGAGACGTGCAACTCATGTCGTGAAGCATGAGGCGCAGGCAAGGAGATGCGGGGGTTCCAGCTGACAAGGTCCGACGGCGCGGCAGATGCGGGCGCCATGGGATGAGGGGGTCAGGGAGATGGGGATCGAGCGGGGCTCTTTCCTGGCGGCGTGAGGTTGAGGAGACGAGGGGGTAGGAAATTGAGAGAGATTGGAGGGGATCGGGCTAGGTTAGGGGATTAGGAGTGGGTGCGGCTGGGCCTTGGCAGACCGGATGGGCTGTGCACTACTGCGCTCTCTCTCTCTCTCTCTCTCCCTCTCTCTCTTCTTTAATTTCTTTCTCTAAATTCCTTCATAGATAGAAAGAAGAAGAAGAGGAAGAAGAAAAAGAGAAGGATGAAAAAGAAATGGCTTGGGTGCATGGAGAATGTTGAAACTTTTAATGTAGAGCCTAAGATTTACACTTAGCTCAACAAAAGAAGTTTCACCCAATATGGAAGAGTTGAATCCAAACTCATTTGAATTTGGTTTGAATGGGAAGCGGGTGTTTGGAAGGTCTAAAAAAATGTTCAGATTTTTGATGGGGCTTGGGAAGGCGACAAAAAATTTATGGGCAAAGTTTGGGGACCAAACTTAAAGTAGAAAAGACATGAAATTTTTAATCGTATAAGTGTGTTCATGAGTGATTCCAAATGATTGGAATATTTATTATAGCTCCCTAAAAATATTGAGAGGATATGTTATAAAGA